AATTAGAGCCAAAAAGGCTAAAAAGAGCCAGTGAAAGAAACACACTTTGGACCTGAAACCAGAGCCAAATCTGACCCTAAACCTGTGTAGAAAACCAACCAATCCCTGAACATTCGATCTAGCCAGTCTGAGCTCAAGGACTGAAATCTGACCAATCCCCACCCTGGATATCTCCCTGGAAAAACTCATCCCCCCAAGAATACCTATATAAACCCTGTGTCTGTTAAGCTTGTGACTGTTCCTGCTGCCTGGTTATCTTCTGCCACAGTGGCAGAGGGTCCTCCCAATAAGTCTCCTGAATGAGTTTTGGGTGAGACCTTCTTTAACCGGAGCAGGGACAACCCTGGAGGAGGAGCAGGACTGTGATGCTTTTGGCTGGGGAAACCTTCCCTGGCAGAGTGAAGTTGTTCACTCGGCTTTGGGGAGGTGGGGGTGGAGGAAGACATGGGACTGGAGCCGAACTATAACAACTTTGTTCAGGAAACCCTCTCCTGCTGGAGCAGGAGCTGATACACTGTGGAAACCTTTCCCTGAAGCAGGGCTGTGAGCTGCTACACTTACTGTGACTATGGTATTCCTTGGTAACTGAGTGCCAGAATACCTTTCCATCTGAGCTGTAACACTCAGTATTCTTTGGCTCCCGAGTGCCAGAATCCTTGTCCCATCCCATCTGAGCAGCCACAATGCTTACAGTGGCCACCACAGCCGGCTCTGCCTTCCACTTTCAAGAAAAATTTAATGTATTAATTTATGTGTATATGCATGTGGGTGCATGCATGCCACCGCACAGCTGTGGAGATCAGAGGACAATTTGCAGGTGCCAGTCCTCTTCTTCCATCATGTGGGCCTCAGGGATTAAACTCTGGTTGAGGAATTTGAAAGCAAGTGTTTTAACCTACTCAGACATCTTGCCAGCTCGCCACCTTGGTTGCTTGCATTTTCTTGTTGATTATGTGTGGAAGTATTTTGCCTACTTGTGTGTATATATTTGCACCACATACACATCTGGTGCCTGCAGAGGCAAGAAGAGGGGATGACTGGATTCCCTAGTACTGGGGTGACAGACTTTTTTCTTTTCCTGCCATGGAAATCTTGGGGCTGAATCATCTGCAAGAGCAGAAAGTGCTCTTGACTGTTGATCCATCTATCCACCTCCCACACCCCACTCCATCCACACACACCTCATTTTTTTTGTTGTTGTTGTATTTTTTTTTTGAGGGGGTAGGGTTTCCTTTTTTAAGGCACACTTTGGCCATATTTCTATACTAGATATGATTTCATGCCTCTGAAGATCTTCACAGATGACAATCCTGAGTGGTAAGAAGCCAGAACCACCAGCGAATTTAGTCAGCAGGTGGGGGGGGTGCTTTTTAGAGTATTTTTTATAACAGTCACAATGCATTATGGGCCCAATTAAAAAGTGTCTTGGTGATCCTTAAAGTAATTGAAAAGCCTGTTACTCTAGCAGTTGCAGTAAGAATTCATCAGTCAGTCACATTGATCATCTACATTTTTCCCCTTTAATAAAAATTAAGTTCTTCTTGAAAATCCACCTTGATGTTGTTCATGGGTCCTGGCTCCACATTCCCAGCAGCCACAGTCACCATCTGTCTCGTCTGCTGCTGTCTGGCAGCAACCTTGAACTTTGACCCATTGCTGTCAGGCACAGTTGTGGACACAAGTTCTGAGGTCACCACCGAGGACCGGAAGGAGGCACAGAATGGAAGAGAGGTACCTGCCAGTGAGGAGGCACACAAGTAGCAGCAGCTGACAGAGATGAAGAGAAGAAGGTGATGATGGTGAGGAAGAGGAGGAAGGGGAAGGGGAAGCAGACGTGGAGAGCGGGAAGCTGTGGGAGAGTGGGCAGCTGTAAAGCAGAGAGTTTATTGTATACAAACTGGACTAGATGTAAATGGTGATATCTTCCTTCATTCCCTAGCAGAGTCAATCAAACAGACACACTCAGTCCACAGCATTGCAGGGCACTGGATACTCTAGAATAGCTCCCTGGGTTCAAAACCAGCCTCATCTACAGTGACGTTTCAAGAGGATGATGTGGACAGCAAGAGGCTGAGGAGGATGCTGAGGATGTCCAGAAAGCAACAAAGGAAAAGTTAAACTTGAAAGACTGCTGTGACCTAGTCATTTCAATCCTAGGATCTCAATATGGTCACCTTCACCTGGAGAAGCATGCCCGTGCTCCCACACTGGACAGTGCCACCCACATAGGGCATATGTTGTTCACCACGCCACTGAGGGAATCTGCAACAAGGGAGGCAGAAATGAGCCCAAACCTGCAAGGCCCTGTCCCCTCCTTTTAAAGGAAATTTTGTTTGTATTTGAACTTAATTGCAATGTAATACTAGGGATCAAACCTTGCTTGAACATACCTGGCTGTTTTACAAGATTTATATGAGATGGCTAAAAAGGCCATTTTTCCCTCTCCTTTGCCTATGAAATTGCTATATTTATACCTGTCTAAAACAATGTCCAACTGTGGCACAGAGCCACACATGTGATTACAAATAAAACCTTAAATTTTATTTTGATCTTTTTTTTAAATGTAAAAACAAAAGCCTTTACTAATGTCAAGCATGTGTGCTCTCTTATAGCTACTTTTCAGTTTTCAAAGGTCTTGCTATGTAGTTCAGACTGGGTTGGAACTTGTGACCCTCCTGTGTTGGTTTTCCACATACTGTGTTTAGTGGGTTATGCTGGCATTTGCAGGTAGGAGCTTCCAACATTCTTTAGTCTGCCACCGTATTTCTCACCAAAATGCATGTCACTCTGTTTTCTGTTTTGTTGTCTTTTCTTGAACTGTCACTGTAGATGAGGCTGGCTTTGAACCCAGAGAGCTATTCCAGACTACCCAGTGACCTGCAGTGCTGTGGACTGAGTGTGTCTGTTTGATTGACTCTGCTAGGGAAGGAAGGAAGACCTCACCATTTACATCTAGTCCACTTTGTATACAACAAACTCTCTGCTTTACAGCTAGGAATTTTGCAGTCCTAGCTACTCCAGAAAGGAGTATCTCCAGTCTTGTGCAAGGCATGGAAAGAAACTGTTGAAGGTGTGCATCAATGGCCCAGGCCTGTAATCCCAGTGCTTGAGAGGCTGGGGCTCCATAATGAGACCCTGACTCAAAACGTATACCCCTAAAAAACAAAAAGCTGTTGTGATAATCACCCACAGTATAAATGGGTCTTGGGTGGAGTGTACTTGATTAATGTCCTTGCCTACTATGTGTAAGGTCCCCTGGGACTGGAGTTAAGAGCTACCCTGTGCCAGTGCTCTTAAGGGATGAGTCATCTTCCCAGACTCTTTTGTTGTTGTGTTTTTGTTTTTTCCTTTAGACTATCTGATCTTGTACCTTTACTGGCCTGAATTTAGAGACTGTATGTTACCACATCAGACCCTAAAGGAACTTGTCTTAAAGAAAAGAAAGAAAAAGAATTAAAACACTAGAAACTGGAGACTGGAAAGGTGGCTCTGAGATTAAGAGCCTGGGCACTCCTGCAGAAAACCCGTTCTTTTACCAGCACCACATCTTGGCTCATAACCACCTGAAACATAAGTCCCAGTGATCCATATCCCAATTTAACTCATCACCTTGCACCGTAAGGTCCCAGAGCCAGAAATGTCTGAGCTCAGGGAACCCCAGTCCTGATCAATTGAGCATTGTGGGAGTGTTGCCCTGAGCTCAGGCTTGGCATCTTGGAGCCACAGGCTCCAAAACAACCCACCATTCCGCCTGGTGGAATTGGTGGTCCACTGGGCCTGCCGAAGCCCTATTCCATTCTAGCATCCCAGAATGATATAACACATCTCTGGGCTGGACAGGTAGAGTCATCTCAGGCTGCCGGTGGTTAGCATCTCTGACTCCAGCCCCTGGCTTTCCAACCTGAAACCTAGGTGTTAGGATTGTTTCCAGCCTGAGCTCTTGATTCAGGCTCAGCAGGCCAGAGTTCCAGATCGCACCAGAGCACAGAGGAGTTCAAAGTCTGAAAGAACCATACAAGAGTCATGGCGCTAGGGGGCGCTCCCACTCAGCCTTTCCCTGAATAGTTGTGGTGTTCAAGATAAAATGCACCCGAGAGGTGTGGATACAGTTTAGACTTACAACACTCCTGTGGCATGTGTGAACTCTTGGATGAGGATCCCACCACAAGTCGTGTGGGGTCATAAGTTACATTTTATAGTCAGTAACCACTGTTATAGAGGGAATACCATTTTTAAATTTGTGGAAGTATACTGAAATCACTTGAGTTATAGAGTGAATACCTGTGTTTAAAATTAAACCCTCTCAGATGTGATAACACACCTTTAATTTCAGTACTCAGGAGGCAGAGCCAGGTAGGTGCCTAGCCAGCCAAGGCTACAGAGGAGAGAAAGGGAGGGAGGAAGGGAGAGAGGAAGGGAGGGAGAGGGAGGGAGAGGGAGGGAGAGAGGAGAGAGAGAGGAGAGAGAGAGAGAGAGAGAGAGAGAGAGAGAGAGAGAGAGAGAGCAACTTGTTGAGAACTATCTCAAAATAACTTTAAAAAGGAGGTTGCCACCCACCCTCCTTATCTTCAAAGCATAGGAAAGGGTCTTCCCCAGGCCGCTCCACCCGGGAGGCCCGGTCACCACAACCAGACAAACGGCATTCGCCCTCACCATATCCTCGAGCTCCTCAGACCTCAAGTCCTCCCCCTGTTCGAAGAGGAGCATCAGCATCGCCCCAAGGAAGGCAGTTCCCATCTGGAGCCTAAAAAGAAAAAAAAAAAAAAAAAAAAAAAAAAAAAAAGGCTGCCTCACCAAGCCCTTAGTCCGGAAGAAGGGTTTCCTCTACCGATCCGTCTCTGGATCTCCTGAGCCAGCAGCTAAAAGCCTTCAGCACATCCTCCTGTTCAGTCTCAGTCACCCTCCACAAACTGGTCCCTGCAGTGGCAGGCAAAAAGGCTAAAAGACCAACACCAAGCCCGTCCCCTGCCAGGAATTCTGATCAAGAAGGAGGTGGAAAGATGATGAAGAAGAAAAAGGACAAGAAACATAAAAAGGGTAAGAAGCACAAAAAAACACAAGAAGGACAAGGTGTGGCTGTAGCCACTGCAGCTCCTGCAACCTCTGCAGCTGTGTCTGCTGCCGCAACCACATCAGCACAGGAAGAGCCTGTGGCAGACCCAGAGCCCGGGAAGGAGACTGAAAGAGAAGCTGAAAACAACCTTGATGACTTAGAGAGGTACCAGCGGGGGGGCACTTCTATCCATGCAGAAGGCTCAAGTGTCCCCACAGTCCTAGGTGGACATGTTTGTTACCTTGTAAATTTTATTTGGTTTGTACTCAATTCAATTTCAAAATTGCTAAAATGTGTTTGAGCTTTAGACTATAACATTTGTTGTAATAATTGTTAGGTTGAAGTTCACCATGTTTTTTTGTTTTGTTTTGTTTTGTTTGTTTTATTTTAAGGGGCATGGATTTACATTACAAAGGTCCATGGTGTACTAGTGTCATTCTTCCGTTGACATTTGGATTATCTATTATCTCTAATAATTATCAGACATTAGAACTGGATGAATAAGTGAGGTGCTAAGAAAGGGGCATACAGACAAAGAAGCAGAATGGGGGGAGGGAGAAGGAAGCGACCTCGGGACAACCTGGAAGAAGGGGAGTTATTGTGGGTGGAGTGTGTCCTCTCACACAAGGACAGGTGACACAAGCTGGGCAAGATGGTGTCTACCTGTGACCATAGCATTCGAGGCAGAGGCAGGAGGATCACTGTAAGTTCAAGATTTGGGCTACACAGTGATGTCCTGGCCAGTTTGGTCCACAGCATAAGACACTGTCTCAAAAATTAAAACAAAAACCAAATCCCCTGGAGATAAGAGACTGGTTTGGTATGGGAGAACCCCTGTGAAGTAGGCCTCCCTCTCACACAGCTACAGAGAACCCCAACAACACTGGGGCTGCAGGAGATAAAGGACCTCCACTCAGGTGGAACCACTAGTGCCAGAATGGTCTGACACTTTCACCTCTCAGCTCTGTTCCGATGGGTCAGCAAGTCATTCCAAACTTACTCATTTATCTCTTATTTTCTGTTGTTTACCTTTACCTCTCCCGTACATGTCTCAAGGTGGTTTTCCTTTTGTTTGTATGTTGTTCAGTTAGGTTTTTAGGTCTGTTTCTGTTTCTTCATTCAATTCATTTTAAAGCATTCTTTACCTTCAGTCACATTACATAGACCCTGAAGGGACTCTGGCCAGCTCAGGCATGGTGAGCATGGCTCTGGCAGACCTTATCCTCCTCTCTGATTTCCCCAGCCTTGATAGACATGGTTAGATTACATTCCTAAAGCTAGCCATCAAGATCTATTCCTTTATTTGGCTAATTCCTCTTCCTGAGGATGACTACCAAGGTCCAGCTGTCAAAGTATTGAAGTCCACCAATCAAACTCCCCCTTTGGTTCACCTAATTAGCATGCCCAATTAAAATTAAACACCTCACCAGTATATTGGGTTTTCTCTTTATCTCCATAAACCACCATTTGCTTATGGGCTACTTCTGTCTCCTCTCTATCCAGAGGCATGCCATTCTTGTGCCCCACCTCCCCCCAGGACAAATAACCCAGCTCCCTCTCTCTTATTCCCTTCCCCTTCTCCCTCATCCTCTTTGTCTCTTACTCCCTGCCCTCTCTTCCTCTGGGGCAAATAGATCACCTTTGTGCTGAAAACTTGGCCTTAGGGGTCCTGGGTCAATACTTTTCCTTTCATAGCCCACCCCTCTTGTTCCTTTCTTTTCTTTTTCATCCTTCCCCTCCCCATTTTTCTTCTCAACTATCACCTTCCATAACTTGAACAATCCTTAGAATCCACAGCTGCTAACAATATCTCAGCTATTCCTTCTTAGTGAGTTCATCCACTGTAACATTTTCTCTCTTCAGAGTTGATCTACTACTTAAATTCTTTTCCTCACTCATCTTACTTCTTTTCTATGTTAATCCCAAAAGATTGGAGGATAAAGACCACCTCCAACCCAAATCATCATGGCCAAATTAATTAAAGTAAGTTTTTTTTATTCATATAGATGGGCTGTCAGCCCCTAAAAATGGGGTTCAAGAGATCCCCATTGGATCATCATCATTGGATGTGAGGGAGACAAAGTTTTAAAACTCAGGAGTAAGAGGTCTCCAAATGATGGACTTGGTGGGCAAAATAGGTGGGGTTACAGGTGCAGAACACAAGCATAACAAGTTAGTCAGGAATGACCACCTGAAACAAAGATGAGTGCAAGGTGGTCATAAGATGGTCATACCCACAGGTGGTCATAGCAAAGTAGTCTTAACGTTTTGGAACAAACGTAGGGTTGCAAGATGGTGAAACAAAGACATGGCTGCCATTTCCTGGAACAGGCATCCCAGAACCATTTGTACTTAGAGTTACAGGTGGGGTATAGACCAATCCATGAGAAACAGGTTTAACCAATCATAAACAGGAATGAACCTAGTTTACCTTTACTATAAGATAGCTTTAAGCCTAAGATGGAGATAGGCTGGTTCATGACCCACTCCTAATATTAACTAAAATCTGAGTACACTCCATATAATCCTTTGTTGTAGAAGTCTAAGGGGCTACTGTTATCAATTGGCTAGTAGGACAAGTCCCATGGTGGTAATACCAAACAGCTGTGGTTGTCTCTCAGTTAATAGCAAACTCAAGGAATAGTAAAGGACACCAGGATCTCCTGTGTGAGTAATTATTTACTGCACTACACACTCAGAACCAAAAAATCTTCATCTGAAAGAATGTAGTTGATAGCTGGACATTGGTGGTGCCCACATTTGATCCCAGCATTTGGGAGGCAGAGACAAGCGGATCTCTGTGAGTTCAAGGCCAGCCTGATCTACAGAGCAAGTTCCAGGACAAAAGGCTCCAAAACAATACAGAGAAACCCTGTCTTGAAAAAAAATGTAGTTGATCAATAAACATGATCTATCATGTCCAAATTTCTCTCTTTATTATTTTTGAGACAAGGTCTCTTCTGGTAACTCTGGCTGGTTAGGAATGCCAATATGTAGCCAGAAAAGATCTTGAACTCTCAAAGATCCAGATCCAACTGTCTCTGCTTCAAGAATGATGGGAATTTGCATGAGCATTGGCCCTAGTCACTGTCATTTTATTTAAGAGCCTTGTGTGTATCTCTGGATTTGAATGTTGGTGGGAGGTCCTGCAATCAATTCCTACAGTTCTCCTCATACCACTATATTTTGATTTCATAACTAGAAGTGTCTTCTCGAGTCTTTGCAGAACAATGAAATGCTGATTTCCATAACTGGCCAGCTAGCAGATTTAACTCTCCTGGATTTTATCACTGACTCTGTGAGCTCAAGCTCATCTCGGAACTTCCATTTCCCTTTAAAACATCCAATCAGAGAGCTTGGTACCCTGAAGCACACTTACAATCTCAGCTTAGAGGACCAGCCTAAGCAATGTAGGGAGAGCCTGTCTCAATAGCAAATGAAAAACAATGCCTAGACACCCCTGGGATTGGAATGGGGCTCAGTTCTTTGCCTTACTGTCCTGTTAAAATAACTTTGAAATTTAAATTGTGCATGTACATTTATTTATTTATTTGAGTCTGTGTGTCAGTGCCCCATTCTGCTTGTGGAGGTCAGAGAACCACTTGCAGGCAAGTTTTCACTACCTGGGCCCTGGTGACCAAACTCATATCATCAGGCTCACCAACCAGCACCTGACCCACTGATCTTGCTTTGTCCTCACTGTTTGGTGTTTTTGTTTGTTTGTTTGTTTTGAAGATTGTTTTTCATTTATATGTATGTGTCTGTATGAGTTTATGTGTACCATATTAGTGCAGGAGCCTATGTAGGCCAGAAGATGTGTTGGATCCTCAGAATCTGGACTTACAGGCAGGTGTGAGCCACCTTATAGGTAGGTTCCAGGAACCAAACCTGTGTCCTTTGCAACAGTAGTAATTGCTCTTAACCACTGAGCCACATATCTAGCTCCTTTGTTTGGTTTTTAATGTTATTTTATTAGCTGTGCCAGTGTATGCTATGTCTGTGAATGAGGACATGTGAGTGCCACGGCTCACAAGAGGTCAGAAGACAGTCTGGGATGGCAATCCCAGAATTCTACCTTGTTTGAGACACTGTCTCATTGTCACCGAGTAATCACAATGGGCTGCCTCCTGCATCGAAGAGTAATCACAAAAATGCCCCACTGACATGTTTACAGATCAATCAGATAGAGGCAATTCCTTACCTGAGTGAGAGTCCTTCTTCCCAGGTGTCTTTCCTTTGTGTTAAGTTGAGAGCTAAAAGGGACAACCATCAACAATGGAGCCAGCCTTGAGGCTCTGCCATGTTCTCCACACCCTAGGAGCTTCAGCAGGCATGCAGTGGTGTCTATTTTGGATAAAAGTCAGCAGTTCTCACTCACAAGATCATGAAGAGCTCCTTCACATCATTAGATTGTTGACTGTGAACATGCCTCATCCTACATCCTTGGCAGCTATAGGCCCAGCTGCCACAAGCTTTACTCTTTCCTTTTTATTTCTTCTTAAATTGATGCTTTATTCATTTAGATTGTGTGTGTGTGTGTGCACGCGCGCTTGCACTGGGCTACAAGCCCAGAAGAGGGTGTTAGATCCCTAGAAGCTCAAGTTACAAGTATTTGTGAGCTACCTGTCATGGGTCATATGGAATTGAACTCTGATTCCCCTGAAAGAGCAGCAGCTAGCCCTCTTAAGAGTACTTAATCTTCCTGGCTGAAAGCAAATGTACTTAGCCACTGGACTATTATTCTGGGCCTTGAGTGTTTTGTTTTTAATTGACATGTTGTAATTGCATATAATTTATAGCATACAATGTGACATTTCAGTGTCAATGTATAATGATCAGATTGCATAAGGCATGCTTTTTTTTTTCCTACTAGGGCTCAAAACCAGACCTTCATACTTTTAAGACAAACTCTCTACAATGTGAATGGTGTCCCCAGACCCTTACCATTTGTTTGTATTGGGAATATTCAGAATTGTACCTTCCAGCTGTTTAGAAATATTCTGTGAGGTCTTATGAGCTATAGCAGTAGTAGTTGTTGTTGATGTTATTTGAGACAAGGTCTCACTATTTAGCCCTGGATAGCCTGGAACTCTCGATGTAAACTAAGCTGACCTTCAGCACACAGAAACCCACCTGCCTATATTTCTACTTCCAAGTGCTGTTGACTAAAAGTGCACCCCACACCCTATAGTAAGCTTAATGCTGTCTTCCTTTGGGCACTGTAATACATACTTAATCGTGGCTGATCCCTTACCCAGCACCTCTCCAGTCTCCCTGCCTTTCCTCTTATACTGCCTCACCCCAGTATTCTCTTTTACACTTTCATATTGCATCGTGTACTATCCAAATGCAACCTGTATCCATCACCCATCTCATTCCACCCCTCATGCCCCACAGTGCCTCAGTTACTGAGCTGGAACAGACCCACCCACTTGTTCACTGATCACAATACCCATCATTTTCCAAGGGCTGCTTCTGCACCAAGAGTGTAGAAAATGCTATGCTCTGGGATTTGCTTTCCTGAAAGCTAATTATTTTGAGAAAGTCAAAACTAACCCCACCTTCACATCTACACCAAGGGACCCCAGCACTGAGGGCAATCCTGCAGTAGAGAGTTCCCTGGTCCTTTGACATCTGGAAACAGAATACAATGAGTAGTACATAGCATTTAACTTTATACATATGGGTGCTTTGCATGCTTGTATATCTGGGCACTCCATCCATACAGTACCCTCAGAGGTCAGAAGAGGCTTTTTGGATACCCTGGGGCTGGATTTACAGATAGTTGTAGACTACCATGTAGGTGCTGGGAACTGAACTCTAATCCTCTGGAAGAATAGCCAGTGCTTTTAATGGGGGGGGGGCATCTCTCTGTCCCCAGAAGAAGTAATGGAATGGTTTGGCCTAACCCTTATTCCCAAATTGTTCCTGGGACTAAAAAGGCAGTAATAAGAAAGGGCTGGAGAGCTGACTCATCAGGGTTAGAGCACTGGTGTTCTTCAGAGGATCAGAGTTCCATTTCTGCTATCCATGTGGCAACTCAAAACCATCTGAAACTGCAGCCCCAGGGACCCTTACACCCTCTTCTAGCTTTTAGGAATGCATACACATGGTGCACAGACATTCATAGAGGAAAAATAGCCACACACAAAAATAAATTTTACAATTTTAAGAAAAGAAACACGGGATCATTTCTTTGATCACTGTTTCAGGGCCACATATCCCAATTCATCTGTAGGCTGAGGCAGGATCATCCAAAGGGTAAGGGCCTGCCTGACATACCGAATTATTTCAAGGCCAGCCTGTCCAACTTTTCAAAACAGTTTGTTATCTTCTTTGTGTGAGACATGTGTGTGGGCATGTGCATACCATGTTGCTTGCGGAGGCCAGAAGACATGTGCGTGCATGCGTGCGTGCGTGCATGCCTGTGCGTGTGTGTGTGTGTGTGTGTGTGTGTGTGTGTGTCTATGGTTAATTGTTCTCAAAATTAATTATTAATTAATCAAGAAAGACACGATCACTTCTGGGTCTGCCTGCAGACCTGCAGGTCAGATCCCAGCTTATCTGGAGGCTGAGGCAGGAGCATCCAAAGTTTAAGGCCGCTTGAATTACACATAGTGAATTCAGGGCCAGCCCATACAATTTTCAAAAGAAAAACAAAACCACTTTATTATGGTGTCTGTGTGACATGTGTGTGGGGCATGTGTGCATCATGGTGCCTGTGGGGGTTAAAAAGACAACTTTGTGGGGTTTCTCCTCATAGCTTTTCTGTGGGTCTTGGGAATTGAATTCAGGTGGTCCTGTGCATCCTGTGACTGAAAACACCTTTACACCCACTGAGCCATCTGGTTGGCACAGCCTGTCCAATTTAAAACACCCTCTTTTTTTTGGTTGGTTAGTTCTGGTTTTGAGACCATATCATACTTAGTATCCTGGCTGGCCTGGAAGGCACAGGAATCTGCCAGTCTCTGCCTCTAGAGTGTTGAAATTGAAAGAGTACTGTTAAAGTATTCCTGGGCTGTAAAGACAAAAATTTACACTATGAATTGGACCTCTCTCTCTCTCTCTCTCTCTCTCTCTCTCTCTCTCTCTCTCTCTCCCTCTCCCTCTCTATCATTACCTCCCCTCAGGGCAGGGTCTCTCTATGTAGCTTTGGCTGTCCTAGGCCAGGCTGGCCTTGAACTCACAGAGATCTGCCTTCCAAGTGCTGGAATTAAAGGTGTGCACCATTGCTACCCAGCTACTTTGGTATTATTAACCAAAAGTGGCCACAAGTATGCTCATGCGTTGCCCACTGTATGTAACTAATCCGGTACATGCATGATGTGTATGCATGTATGGGTAATGAAGCCACAGCATGCATTTGGAGGTCAGAGGACAATTTTATGGAGTTGGTTCCCCTCCTTCTACCTTTATTTTTAAGTATATTATTTTTGGTTTGTGTGTGTTTCTGTACTTATGCACATACCATAGCCCACATGTGGCATCCAGAGAACAGTTTAAAGAATTGTCCCTTCTTTCCATCATGGAGTTTGTCATGGTTGGGCTCAAGCACCTTGACGCACTGGGCCATCTTGCTGGCTTTCCTATCTATGCATGCTTTTCTGGGCTCACAACCATCTAAAACTCTACCTCTGGGGTGATCCGATGCCTCTGGCCACCCTGAGCACCTGCACTAATGTGTACATGCACATAATTAAAAATTATAAAAACAAAACAAATTTTGTCCTCATCCACAAGAGTGCCAAGTCCATCACACATGTTGCTTTCCAACACGCACAGCTGAGTCTGTGAGACAGCTATAGGCTTTGAATTCCTTCCAACTTTTGAGCTCTATTAAGGCACTTTGGTTAGATGACCATCACCCTAGCAGGCCAGTGACATCCTGCAAGGACCCACAGCTCATAGTGTCTTCAGCTCCTAGGCGGCAGGCCCTGCCAAGGGACCTTTCCCCACAGGCTTTGCTCACAAGCCAATGGACTTTTCCACAGCCCTGGCAAACTTGGGGGGTAGTTGTACCTGCCCCATTTGCTTGACTCTCCTCAGAGACCCAGTGAGCATTAAATATGGTGACAACTTTTGTCACGCTTGCCTCAATTTTTCCTGGAAAGATCAAAGGGGCATCTACCCCTGCCCTATCTGCCCCTCTTATTTCCCACAGAAACACTTCAGCAAGAACTTCCAGATCTGTAACTTCACTGATCCCATGAAGCAACTGTAGAAGAGGAGCCCAGAGCAGAGAGAGGAGGTCTGAAAGGCGTGCTGTGTGTCAGAGGCACAATCAGCCTCTGACCCTTTTCTGTATGGAGGATCTAAACATCTTATGTATCCAGTGAAAATTGTTTGACAAACACAGGATGCACTTTGTCTTGATTGGAAAGCTGCCCCTCGTCATAGGAGAATTCTAGAAGACAGCATGAGGCCTTTGGAGTGTAAGCTGAAACAAGCTGAACCAGCACTGGTCCTGCAGCACAGAAGAGCTCTTGAACTGAGGAGCATGTTTGGATACAAAAAACAAGAGGTACGTTTTGAATTTGAGCAACTCCAACTGTTTATGCAGAATAAGCATGAGGCACTGCTAAATGACATGTACACTGAGGAGCTGGTGGATTGACCAAAGCTGCAGGGATATCTTGGGACCCTGTCAGACCATGTACACACATTAGAAGATTTGTTGGAGGAAGCAGAGTCACATGTCACACTCCAAACAAGCGCTCCAAGAGTCTGCCACAGATTTGAAAACCTGAGATGCAGCCTGAGCTCTGGGCCCCTGCCAGAGATCAGCCTATCTCTGTGGGACCACCCTGAGTCTCCGCCTGCCTGATCTTTGACCCCCATTGCCAAGCCTCTGCTGGAGGGAACGTCCTAGATCTGCTTTCAGCACACTAAGCCCACCTATCCATGTAGGACCAACCTGAGTCTTCTCCATCTGCCTGATCTTTGAACCCCATGATCTTTGACCCCCATTGCTGGGCCTCTGCCAGAATGAGTCTGGGACCAGTTCAGGTTGAATCCCCCCACACCCTTCCCTGGGAACTCCCTGGATTGGTCCCAAATCCCCCCACCCCTCGTGTCCTGTCCTCAGCCAGAGCCAGAGCACTCCTGGTGTTCTGATACACAACCCTCCCACCAAGAACCTGCCCCCCCCCACCCTGTGCCCTACCTAGCCCGCTGCCCCACTGCTCTGGTTGAGCACTGGAACAGAGGGCGGATCCAACAACCCGGCCACCTCCAGGGAATTTCCTGGAGCTATTCTGAGCATACTAGACCACTATCCAAGCAGAACCACCCTGAGTCCCTACCTGCCTGATCTTTGACCCCTATTGCCAGGCCCTGAGTTCCTGCCTGCTTGGTCTTTGATCCAATCTCTGGGCCTCTGCAGGAGGGCCACTCTGAGTCCCTGTCTGCCTGATATTTGACTCCCATCACTGGGCCCCTGCCTGAGGAGAGACCTCCAAGAGAGCTTGGACCACCCAGAGCTTCAGACATCATACTTCTGACCCACCTAGGCCCACAGGGGGAGTAGCATAGAGAGAAAGACCCCACCTACACCCACTGGAAGAAGCGATAGGAAGATAGCAATACAAGAAAACACCTAAAGGCAAGCATGACACCACCAGAATCCAAGGACTCTACACCAACTAGACCTGAACACCCCAAAGCAGATGAAGCAGAAAGGAACCACTTAAAAATTATCTTCATAAAAATGATAGAGGCCTTCAAAGACGACGTGAGAAAATCCCTTAAAGAAATGGAAGAAAAAAAAAATTGGAAGAAATAGAGGAAAAAAACATGCAAAAAATGCAAAAAATGAACAAATCTCTTCAATAAAATAAGGAAAGCCAAGAAAAAAACAAACAAGTGAAGGAAACAGTTCAAGACTTGAAAACTGAAATAGAGACAATAAAGCAAACACAAACTGAAGGAATGCTGGAAATAGAAAAACTGGGTGAACGATCAGGAACTACAGGTGCAAGCATAACCAACAGAATACAAGAGATGGAAGAGAGAATCTCAGGCGCTGAAGATAAACTAGAGGAAATAGATACATTGACCAAAGAAAATCTTAAGTGCAACAAATCCTTAACACAAAACATCCAGGAAATGTGGGACACTGTGAAAAGGCAAAACCTAAGGATAATAAGCATAGAAGAAGGCAAAGAAGCCCAGATCAAAGGTGCAGAAAAGATATTCAACAAAATCATTGAAGAAAAGTTTCCCAATCTGAAGAAGGACATGCCCATGAAAGTACAAGAAACATAACAAACACCAAATAGACTGGATCAAAGATAAAAGACCCCTTGACACATAATAATCAAAACACCTAACATACAGAATAAAGAAAGAATATTTATTAAGAACAGTGAAGAAAAAGGCCAGGTAACATATAAAGGCAGACTTAATCAAAATTACACCTGACTTCTCTCTGGAAACTCTCAGAGCCAGAAAAGTCCTAGATAGATGTTCTACAAGCACTAAGAGTCCTTGGATGCCAACCCAGGCTACTTTGCCCAGGAAAAATCTCAATCCTATACATGGAGAAAGCAAGATATTTAATGACAAAGCCAGATTTTCACAATATGTGAAAATCTATAAATCCATCCCTACAGAAAGCTCTGGAAGGAAAACTGCAACTCAAGGAAGTTAACTATGCTTCACAAAGTCATAGGCAATAGATAATCCCACTTCACCAGAACACAAGGGTAAAGTAGGGCAAAGAGATTCACAATACCAACAACAACAACAAATCTAAAACAAACAAGCATTAACAATCAACGGTCCTTACTTTCCCTCAACATTAATGGTCTTAATTCACCCATAAAAAGACACAGGCTAACAGAATGGATACAAAGACAGAATCCATCCTTCTGCTGCATACACATCTAAGCTTCAAAGAAAGACATTATCTCAGGGTAAAGGGTTGGGAAAAGATCTTCCAATCAAATGGACCCAAGAAGCAAGCAGGTGTGGCTATCCTAATATCTAACAAGTTAGACTTCAAACCAAAATTAATCTAAAGAGATGAAGACAGTCATTTCGTATTCATCACAGGAAAAATGCATCAGAACCAACTCCCAATTCTGAACATCTATGCCCCATACACAAAGGCACCCACATTCATAAAAGAAAATGCTAAAACTCAAAGGTCACATAAAACCTCACACACTCATAGTGGGAGACTTCAATACCCCACTCTCAATGCTAGATAGGACCACCAGTCAGAAACTTAACAAAGAAACAAAAGAACTAACTGAAATTATTTCTCAATTGGGTTCAACAGATATCTATAGAACATTCCATCCAAACACAAAAGAATATAGCTTTTTCTCGCTCCACATGCAACCTTCTCTGAAATCCACCACATACTAGGTGACAAAGCAAACCTTAACAGATACAAAAAAAAAAAAATTGGAATAATCACCTGTATCTTATCAGACCATGATGCTTTAGTTGGAATTCAACAACATAAATTGGGAAACCCTACAAACTCATGGAAACTGAACAATGTGCAGTTGCACCATACCTGGGTCAAAGAAGAAATAAAGAAAGAAAGTAAGGACTTCCTAAAATTCAACGAGAATGAGGACACAACATACGCAAACTTAAGGGAAACTTTGAAAGCACTGTTACGAGGGAAGTTCATTGCCCTAAGTGCCCATATGAAGAAAACAGAGGATAATCACATTAAAGAATTAACAGCACAACTAAAAGCCTTAGAATAAAAAGAAGCAAACTTACCCCGGAGGAGTAGATACCAGGAAATAATCAATTTGAGGGCTGACATCAATAACGTAGAAATCAGGAAAACAATACAAAAAAAATCAAAGCAACAAAGAGTTGTTTTTTTTTTTTTTTGAGAAAATCAACAAGATAGACAAACCTTTATCCAAGCTAACTAAAAAGCAGAGAGAACACACAAATTAACAAAATCAGAAATGAAAAGGGGGACATAATAACGGACACAGAGTAAATCCAGACAATTTTCAGGTCATACTTTGAAAACCTGTACTCCACAAAATTTGAAAATTCAAAGTAAATGGACAAATTTCTGGATGACTATCATTTATGAAAATTAAATCAAGAACAGATAAACAACGTAAATAGACCTAAAACCCCTTAATGAAATAGAAGCAGTCATCAAATCCTCCCAACCAAAAAAAGACCAGGGCCAGAAGCCTTCAGTGCAGAATCCTACCAGAAATTCAAGGAAGAACTAATATGAATACTAATCAAATTATTCCACACAATAGGAGCAGAATGTTCGTTACCAAACTCTTTTTATGAGGCCACAATCACCTTAGTACCCAAGCCACACAAAGACACAACTAAGAAAGAAAACTACAGACCAATATCCCTCATGAACATTGATGCAAAAATACTCAATAAAATATTGGCAAACCCAATCCAAGAATACATCAGACAAATCATACACCATGGCCAAGTAGGCTTCATCCCTAGGTTGCAGGGATGTTTTAACATACAAAAATCTATCAACATGATCCACCATATAAACAAACTGAAAGAGAAAAACCACATGATCATATCACCAGATGCTGAAAAGACCTTTGACAAAATTCAACATCCTTTCATGATAAAAGTCTTGGAGAGATCAAGGGTAACAGGAACATACCTAAACATAATAAGAGCAACATACAGTAAACCAACAGCCAACATCAAACTGAATGGAGAGAAGCTTAAGGCGATTCCTCTAAAATCAGGAACAAGACAAGGCTGCCCTCTCTATATATATCTCTTCAATACTGTACTTGAAGTTCTAGCTAAAGCAATAAGACAACAGAAGGGGATCATGGGGATAAAAATTGGAAAGGAAGAAGTCAAACTTTCACTATTTGCAGATGACATGATAGTTTATATAAGTGACTCAATAAACTCTACCAGGGAACTCCTACAGCAGATAAATACCTTCAGCAAACTAGCAGGATACAAGATAAACTAAAAAAAATCAGTAGCCCTACTTTATTCAGATGACAAAGGAGCTGAGAAAGAAATCAGAGAAACATCATCCTTTACAATAGCCACAAACAACATAAAGTATCTTGGGGTAATGGTTACCAAACAAGTGAAAGACATATATAATAAGAACTTTGTGTCTTTAAAGAAAGAAATTAAAGAAGATACCAGAAAATGGAAAGATCTCCCATGCTCTGGGATAGGTAGGATAAACATATTTAAAATGGCAATCCTGCCAAAAGCAATCTACATATTCAAAGCAATCCCCATTAAATCCCAGCACAAGTCTTCATTGACCTTGAAAGGATAATACTCAACCTTATATGGAAAAACAAAAGACCCAGGATAGCCAAAACAACCTTGTACAATGAAGGAACTTCAGGAGGCATCACCATCCCTGACTTCAAGCTCTCCTACAGAGCTATAGTTCTGAAAACAGCCTGGTATTGGCACAGAAACAGACAAGTAGACCAATGGAATTGAATAAAATCCTGACATTAACACACACAACTATGAACACCTGATTTTTGACAAAACAGCTAAAAGTATACAATGTGAGGAAGAAAGCATCTTCAACAAATGGTGCTGGCACAACTGGATGATGGTGTGTAGAAGACTGCAGATAGACCCATGTCTATCCCCATGCACAAAACTCAAGTCCAAATGGATCAAAGACCTCAACATAAATCCAGCCACACTGAACCCCTTAGAAGAGAAATTGGGAGGTACAGGAGACTGAGACTGCTTCCTGAACATAACTCCAGTAGCACAGACACTAAAACGGACAATTAATAAATGGGGCCTCCTCAAACTTAGAAACTTCTGTAAGGCAAAGGACACAGTGGACAACATCTAAAGGCAGCCCACAGACTAAAAAAGATCTTCACCAATCCTACACCTGACAGAGGGCTGACCTCCAAAATACAAAGAATTCAAGAAACTAATCACCAAAACACCAAATAACCCTATTAAAAACTGGGGTACAGAACTGAATAGAGAACTCTCAATAGAGGACATCAAAAAGCCTGAAAGAAACTTAAGAGGGTGATCAACATCCTTAGCTATCAGGGAAATGCAAATCAAAACAACTCTGAGATACCATCTTACTCCTGTCAGAATGGCTAAAATTAGAAACACCAATGACAACTTGTGCTGGAGAGGATGTGGAGAAAGGGGAACACTCCTCCACTGCTAGTGGGAGTGCAAACTTGTACAGCCATTTTGGAGATCAGTATGGCAGTTCCTCAGGAAAATGGGAATCGGTTCACCACAGGACCCAGCAATCCTCCTCTTAGGTATATACCCAAATGATCTACATCCATGCAACAAAGACATGTGTTCAACTATGTTCGTGGCAACATTATTTGTTATTACAAAGAACTTGGAAGCAACCTAGATGCCCTGCAACTGAAGAATGGATAAAGAAGATGTGGCACATTTACACAATGGAATACTACTCTGAGGGGGAAAAAATGGAATCTTGTAATTCGAAGGCAAATGGATGGAACTTGAAGAAACTATCCTGAATGAGGTAACCCAGTCACAAAAAGAGGAACATGGAACATACTCACTCATATATGGATTTTAGACATAGAACAAAGGATCACCAGCCATAATTCACACTGCCAGAGAAATTAGGCTACCAGGAGGATTCTAAGAGATTCATATAAGGCCTTGCACAGAAGGGGGAAGGGACAAAATCTCGTGAGCATATTGGGAGTGGGGTGAGGGGCAGTGAGTGGAGAGGGAGGTAGTAGAAAGAGAAGGGAGGAGAGGAAAGTACGTGGAGCACGTGGGACTAGGAAGATTGAGTCAGGGTTGCAATAGATGAGAGGAGAGAGAGGGAGAGAGAGAGAAAAAATCATAAAAGAGTTTGAAGAGAAAACTGAACCTATAGAAATGTCCAGAGACCTACAAGACTGACCCCAACTAACAATTGGATCAACAGTGGAAAGGCTACCATAAATGCCCTTCCTTGATAATGAGATCGATGACTAACTTATCCACCATCATAGAGCCCTCATCTAGTAGCTGATGGAAACAGAAGCATACATCCACAACTAAACACTGAACCGAACTGGAATATAGATGCAGAGACAGAGGACAAGACCAGGCTACAGAAACCCACAGAGACAGCTGACCTGAACAAGGAGGAGCTAATGGGCCCCCAGACTGACAGCTGTGAAAGCAGCATTGGACTGACTCAGACCCCCTGAACATGGGTCTTAGTTAGAAGGTCTGGTCAGTCTAAGGGACTTCGGATTGTGGAACCAGGATATGTCTCTGGTGAACAAAAGGATTTTGGGAGCACATTTCCCATGGAGGGATACTCCCTTAACCTAGAGGAAGGAGGGAGGGCCTAGTCCCTACTCCAAATGACTTGACAGATTTAGATGACCCCTCTTGGAAGGTATCACCCTACATGTGGAGTGGGGGGGGGATGGGAGGGATGGGTGGTCAGGGGGCATGGAAAAGTGGAATAGAGGAAAAGAGGGAGGAAGGGAGGGAGAGGGAACTGGGCTCGATATGTAAAATAAAAATAAATAAATAGACAAATAAACAAACAAACAAACAAATAAATAAACGAAACCTGAGATGCACCAAACTCAACATTCAGGACAAAGTAATATGGTCTCGTTCTCCTGCCACAGTATTTTGGTTTGGAGAGAGTCATTGAGCGATTTCAAATAGATGTGATGTTTGATCTTGACACAGCACACCCTCAGCTTGTTATTTCTGAGGACAGAAAATATATGCTTTATAAAGAGGCAGGTGAAGTGTCTGTGCTCGCCCTGGGAGATTTCCCCTCTGGCCTGCTCTTCTAGGATGTAAAGGATTTCATTCGGGTCATTGTTACTGGGAGGTAAAAGTGGGAAACAAGCCACATTGGGTGTGTGTCAAGACAGCCTTCCTGGGGACTGGAGTGAGCAGCCCTCAGTTGCTGGGGGCTTCTGGGCAGGAGGGAGAAACAGTGAGAGCAGCTATGTCACCTACAGGCCTAAAGAACTAAGGTTCTGCCAGTTGCAGCCAGCAAGATCGGCATTTTTTGGATTATGAATTGAGTGATCTCTTCTTCTGTAAAATGAATGACATTTCTCCCCTCTACACTTTCAGTAATCCCTTTGCCACCACAATTTGGCCTTATTTCTGCACAGGAACAGATTCTGAACCTCTTAAAATATTACCCACACTACATCTGCATAACAGAAACTACAGGTCTTAGTTCTTCAGTAATTTAGACTGTACATTTAAGCTTGGAATTAAACAATACAAACAAAAACAAATCTTCTAAGTTTAGCCACTGAAAAGCAGACTGCTTTGATCTAGATTGGTTTTCAGGAAATTAACGCGGTAGTGGTTGCCCCAAGTGTGCACCTAGCACCTGGGAGGTTTGGGTAGCAGCAGGAAGACAGACCAGCCTAGGACCTGCCAGCTGTTTTCTTTTTTCTTTTCTTTTTTTCTTTTTTTTTTTTTTTCTTTTTTCTTTTTTTGTGTGTGTGTGTGTAATTTTTGCTTATTTTACATATCAATCCCAGTTCCCTTCCCTCCCTCCATGCCCCCTCACCACTCTCCCATCTTACCCCCCCCAACTCCACAGGGAGGAGGGAGCAACAAAATCTGTCAAGTCATTAAGAGTAGGGACTAGGCCCTCCCTCCTGCCTCTAGGCTAAGGGGGTATCCCTCCATGAGGAATGTGCTCCCAAAGTCCTTTCATGTACCAGGGATACATCTCCTTGGCTGTTTCTAATCCATGTTTCAATCACTGATCCTTCACACAGCAAATGCACTCCCCTCCCCTCTTCTGGTGATTATCTCAATGTGTGAAGCCACCATCCTCATAGGCCAAGCCTTCTGTTTATCTCCCAAAAGGGGCAGCAGCATCTCTCATTTGCATCACTGGTTTTTGTTTGTTTGTTTTTGCCGGAACTGGTTCATTCAGTGCCTCTCCTTCCCCTGCATTCTGTACTCTGACATATGTTTTTATTGTGTATGGGGGGAAAGGGATGGGCCCATATATGTGTGTGCATTAGAGGCCAGAGGACAACCTCAGCTGTCATTCCTGGGGATTCTGTTTACCTCCTTTTGAGGCAGAAGCATGTTCTGGAGAAGCATGCACAATTAGACTAGAGTGGCTAGTCATTGAGTCCCACTATCCTATCTCTCCCTTTCCTGCATTGGATGGACAGATCTGTGCTACAATACCTGGCCTGGCATTTTTATGTGTGTTCTAGATATTGACATCTGGTTCTTATGCTTTCCAGGCAGGTTTTTTTTTTTTTTTTTTTTTTTTTTTTTTTTAACAATGGAGCGGTCTCTTAGAAACATTGGGTAGCCTACAGCAAGAGGATTATGGGTCATAAAATCATCTGCACTATATAGCAACATCCTGTAAAATACAATGCATACAATGAAACAAAAGCCTATATTCCCAGCACTCAGGGAGGTGGAGACAGGAGGATCCAAAGTTGAAGAGCATTGTCAGACACATAGTCAATCCCATGTCATTCTGGGCTATGTCAGACCCAGTCTCCCCCAAATAGACAGAAAACCCTTGTAATTGTTGGGATAAATATTTCAATCCTGCAGTTTATGAGTGACATATAGCAGAAATTACTGGTACTTCCTAATCCTTTTGGATTTTAGTGGTGATCTCAGACTTAGGTCCTGCCATGATCAATTAGCTGTTGCCAGATGAATTTTTCATGTTGTGATACAATGCCAGCATCTGGGAAGCAGAGGTAAGTGGATTTCTGAGTTAGAAGTCAGTCTACATAGGGAGTTCCAGTCTAGCCAGGGCTACCCAGTGAGACCCTGTCTCAAAAACTACATAAAAGTAAGATTTTTAAAAAGTATAAAACATGACAGGCTCTTATTTTCTTTCCATATTTATTTCATTTTTAAAATTAAGAAATGCAGTTGTACTGGGTAGTGGTGGCACACCCCTTCAATCCCAGCTCTTGGGAGGTAGAGGCAGGTGGATCTCTGTGAGTTCTGGGCCAGTCTGGTCTAGAAAGTGAATTCTAGGATAGCCAGGGATACACAGAGAAAACCAGTCTCAAAATACTAAAAAAAAAAAAAAGAAAAGTTAAGTATTTGTGACAAGCAGAAGCAGGGGGATTTCTGCAAGTTCCAGCACAGCCTGAGCTACAGAGAGGATCCCATCTGAAAACAAGACATTTATATGGGCAGTTCTCACTGCATGAATTTGTGCCCACACTTGGCATGTCTTATGTTATCTGACTTCCCCAAGAAGATTGTATCCACTGCTGAGTGCCTTTTAACACTCTGGGTGGGTGCATGTGTGTTTATGTATGTATAAAGCCTGGAAGACGTGTGTGTCAGATCCTCTGGAGCTGTAAATATAGGTGATTATGAGCCACCAGATAAGGGTTCTGGGAACCACACTAAGTCCTCTTGGAAGAGCAGCAAGCACCCTTAAGCCCCGAACCATCTTTCTGGTTCTTTAAAATACCTTTATTACACCCCAACTCCTCTTCATTAAAAACTACTACACACAGGTGAAAGATTCCAGGGCTGTAAGTCTATCTGATTTTCTGAATTATTCAGAAAAGTGTGACTTATTATTACCTTAATTGTTTGAGTCATTCCCTGGCCCTTGCAATGTTTTGGGTTTCCTTATGGTTTCTTTAAAACTTCCCTCCCCATCATTTAGCTTCTTGCCAGCCATGCATGAATCTGACCTCCATGTTAGCTTTAGTGGTTGGCTTTTCCTTTTTTTCTTCCATTTGTCTCCTCCAGGCAGCCGCCCATGATTTACACCTCACCTGCCCCAAAGCTTTTACCATCTAATAAAATATTCTTGTGATTCAAGAAAATAAGATAAATGCACACACTTAAACACTTTTTTTTTTTCCTGCTGGGTGTTGGTGGCACAAGCCTTTACTTCAAGCACTCTGGAGGCAGAGCCATGTGGATGTCTGTGAGTTTGTGGCCAGCCAGGATAGGTTCCAAAGCTACACAGAGAAACCATGTCTCGAAAAACCAAAAACAAACAAAACAAAACAAAACAAAACAACCACTTTTTTTCTTAAACCAGGTCTTTCTACAGTTACAACTGTAACAAGTCTGGATTTGCTGTGTAGGCCAGGCTTGCCTTGAATATGTGGTGGTCCTGGCTCTGACTCCCAAATTCTGAGATTACATGAGGCATCATGCATCGCTTGTTCCACCCAAACTTGTGTCTTGATTGATTGATGCAGGATCACATGTAGATCAAGCTGGCCTCAACAAGTGTGCATAGGATGAGAGCACATACATACATACCATGTTGTGCATGTAGAGAACATAGAGGACAACCTTTGGCCTCTGAAGAAACACACCACTCATGCACATACTCACAGACATATGTACACATGAATAAAATGTAAAGCATTTTTAAAGCACGTAACACATTTTGTGTAGCTCAATTTGTGGACATGAAACACCCTAATATGCAATACTGTGAACGTGGCCTTTAGGCTCTCTGGCTGTGTGAAATCAAGACAGCTAGGGTTACCCCTCAGGAGTTCATCATAAGACACAGCCCATTAACTTTCTCTCTTGGGTTGAGACTCACAAGGTCACATTTAAACCTCGGTGGGCAACTCTAAGCCCACAAGGCCCTGATGCTCAGTGATTAAGGTTGCTGGAACGACGACATTTTCTTTGGTGGCATCACTGCTAATGGGTTAGTTACTCCTGCTTTGCCTATAACACCCATCCAACTAATTGGTTCTCCAAGCAAGACTTGAGTGAGATGAATTCTTTGGGCTGTCTGGGTTGAAGATATATCAGTTTTCGCTTCACCTCAGGAAAAGCTAACACAACCACAATCTGGGACAGAAGACAAAATATCAGCTTTTTTCATCACCACCTCCAAGTCATTCACCACAGACAACTCTGCCTGTTGCTGATATTTTTAAGGGAACTAGGGCCCGTAGCTGAAGATCAGAAGTGGAATGAAAAGCTCAGTGTGGCAGCACACACTTCTAAACCCCGGCACTTGAGAGGTTGAGGCAGGGAGATTGCTCTGGGTTCAGGTCAGCATGGGTGACAAAGTACTGTCTCAGACAGACAAACAAACAAAAGTGACATAGATCAGCAAGTAAAGATCCGTGCCAATTGCAATGACCTGTGATGAACCGAGAAGTGTAAATAAAGTGATGCCCTAGCTAAGGCACCCCTAGCAGGCTCTGCTGGGTCTATACTTTTTGTGGGATCTAACTTTTTCCAGGTACTGTCAGAAGTGAGTTAAATCAGAGATATCCAGCTGATGTCAAGAGACCTGATTGTAGGAGGGGATTCTTAGCTGTCAGGTGTCTGAAATGTTTGTCAATAAACTGTCAGGTGCTGGGGATGTAGCTCATTTGATAGTGTTCTTGTCTAGCATTTGAGGAACACAGGCTTCAGACTCTAGCAATTAGTAAAACGGATGTGATGATACAGGCCTAGACTCTCACCAATAGAAGGACAGAGAACAAGGATCAGAAGTTCAAGGTCATCCGGAAGGATATAACGAGTTCTAGGTCTGCCTGGAAGACCCCCATACACACCCAAAAGATAGGGAGAGAGAGACTTTTTCTCCAAAATCAGTCCCATCATCATCACAACACAGGTTCAGCTCTCACTGCTGAGTCTGGGTTACCAACTGTGCATGATATTTCTACTGGTAAATACACTTTGTCAGGCCAGCCACGGTGACTCATCCTAGCACTCCAAAGGCTGAGGCAGCAGGATTTTGATTACTTGGTTGGCACAGGATACATAGCAAGAAAGTTTAAAAAAAAAAAAAAAAAAACGAACAAAAGATGAAAGAGAAATTTGTGCATTTTTGGCCTTGTGTCTCAGAATTGATCTGTTAGCTAAAAACAGTGAGACCATACCATGCTTTTTTGTATAAAATTATTTACTTAAACAATTAAGCAAGATACATTTACAGAAAATTAAGATATATAGAGCTCTTGTTTGTTCTTCAAATAGATTCCAGGGCCTAGCAAATGTTTAGATGTTAATATTTGTGGCATATGCTTAAGCATATCCTGGTCTAAGTTATGAGTTCAAAGTCAGCCTTGTAGAGTCAGTTCTTTCCTTCACTTTTATGTGGATTCCCAGAGTCAGACATCCACCATCAGACTTTGATAACCACTTTATTCACTGAGCTGTCTACCCTCCCCTTGTTTGGTTTTTGAGACATGCTGCCTCTAGCCTCAAACGAAGGATTTT